TACCATTTTTATAAAAATCCTATGAAATACCATTTTTATAAAAATCCTATAAAATACCATTTTTTTAAATCCTATGAAATTCCAATTTTACGAGAATCCTACGAAATACCAACTTTCATGAAAATTTCGTGAAATCGCAAATTTTGACCAAATTTCCGACAGACATTACCACTGTGAGCCACAGCAAAAGTAAGTGAACAGGAAAGATCGTCCGCTCGCGTCGGTGTTGACAGCCCCCGATCGTAAGTTCGATACCATTTCACCGAGCAAACCGAGCGGACCGATCGCGATGGCGTTTCCGCGTAACCGTCGAGCGGAAAGTTGGAAAAACGACGGGGAAAGGGGCGTAGGCGAGAGGAGCGCGACCGACGAAAGGCGAATTCCTTCTAAAATTAACGCGGGCACGCGTGCAACGCTCGAAAAATACGTTCGCCGCTTTCGGCTCGGCGCGCGGCCGTTCCTTCGGCTCGACCCAATGACCCAATCACGGACCACCGATGCGAACCCGATGTTCGGCTCGTTTGTCGCTCGGCGCGCGGCCACCCGCGCCCACCCTTGTTAAGCTTCGTCCCCACTGAAACAACGGCCACCCACTTTTCGTAGATGTTCGATACAGGATAAAGGCACCTGATATGAAACATCACAATATTTAGGAAAATAAATAGCTGCATGTGTCAGTTACCATGGGGAACACTTCGTTAATAATAGAAGACAATCATATTAATAGTTGGCCGTCAGTTAATGATTTGTCATTGAATACGAAGCATTATTGTGTTTGGTAGTACGTTAAATTTATTGAAGACGACTTAAATAGTCAAATTACTTAATATAGATCTGCCAAAAACTTTTTTTTATGATTTATCATTGAACACGTTTGTTTTTCACTACTCAAAAGCAATTTGCTGCAAATTTATGTTCTTCTTAGAAGAGTTATTATCTGTATATCGGAATACGTGTGTTCCTAATATGTAACACGTTCCAAATTGAGTACAAATTCTTTGTTAATGTTACATATTATTAGGTTATATTTAACATTATATAAGTTCAAAAAGTTCAGTGGGAAATTCATTTATTTATCTTTTTTAGTTCCACAAATATTCATTTCATATAATAAAAATGAGTTTTGTTTATTCTTTCAGATCGCTGTTTTTAACATTATTTACATTTTTTACTGTGGTCTGAATATCAAGCTTTTCAAATCAGGTGTTCCATATTATATAGGTGTTTCGCAAGTTTCGTAAACAGTTATTTCATTTTACCTTGAGAATTTCGTTGTATTAAAAATTGTTAATCCGAGTAAACTCGGGATGATAAATTGGGTGTTTCGGATAGTTTTGTCCATATTACGTTCAACTCCACCGTTTTTGTTAATACATTTTTCGTAAATATATTCTCCAACTATTAAACAGCATGAATGAAAAGTTCTCATATTTTTGCTTAAAATTGAAAAATGAATTTGTAAAACACACAATTAAGAACCCTATTAATAAGTTTTCTATAGATAAAGTATTAAGATATTGTAATGTGAAATAAATCGACTCGTTCCTGAACAGTCTGCCTTCAACGATCAGTCTACTTCGTTTTTCTAAACAAACGATTCAAAGAAGTAGCTACTTATCAATGAATCTTCTTCCTGTTTCAATCTTTTCCCATTTGAAGCGGAAACACGCGATGGAAGCAAAAAAAAAAGAACGGAAATGTTACTCCGGCGTGAACAAAATGTTTTTGAAAGTTGGTGTTTATTGGAACATGCATCAACAAGAAGCAAAAGGAAGTTGCATCTTTTTCTCTCCCGCTGAGAGCGAAACATAGAAACTCTCTGTCCCTGCTGAAGCAACATAGTTTCAGGAACATCCGATTCTGTTTCGGTTTCAAGGCGACATTTATTTGCATCAAGTGCAAACACACTGAAGGAACATTTGTTTTTTGTCGCAACATGTTACCCCGTGTTTACTATTTCCCTTTGATCTTCACCGCCGAGAATGGGAACGACAGTATTCGTCGCTGGCAACGGAAACAGAAGGAAACATAGGGGAACATTCGACGACGAAGACCGTTTCAAGATACACTGATCCACGAAAATATTTAACCCTTTGCAGTGAAGAGGCAACTCCTAGTCGCCATTTGATTCGACACAGTAAAATTGTAAAATTTAAAATTCAATATTAAATTCTGTACAAGGTATCAATACGTGAAACATAAAAATAAAATAATTTGGTCTCTTAATTTATGCAAGATTTTTCTTTACGTTAGTTGCAAATAATGTTGTTGATATTTCATCAGGAAATAATCAATATTTGTAAAATCAAATATCGAGTGCAACGCACAATACGCATCATCTTAAAACACAGAACGGTACTATGTAATTTCTTTAACGACGAATTGTTTATTTTTTCGGATGAACATGTAATTCTTCATCGTTTTGTTTTAGTTTATTCTGAGAATATATTATAGGCACATTTGCCCTTTTGACTAGTATACACTTTGTTGTTTGATTTTCATTGCGCGCACAATGAGAGATTTTTCAAACTAAATTCCACGATTAAGGTTAACACGTTGAATGCCACTCGATTTCATAGAGCAAAATACACAAAATGGAAAGAATATAATATTAAATCGTTTGTTTGAATTGCATTATTATTATTGCACATTGATCTAGCTCAATGGCATCGTGAAAGGTGTCATTATTTATAATATAGAAATGTTTTCACATAATCATTGTTTAATTGGATTTGGTTGAGGGTCACCGATGACCCCCATGGCATTCAACGTGTTAATTAGAATCGTGTGCCGCTGCGCTACACGTATAAGATTCCATTTTGTTGCAGGAAAAGGTTACTTAACGCTATTTCCACCGAAGATGTCGAAAGACACCTTTTGAAATTTTCCCAATAACGATTATACAATTAACTGTAAGAAATGTCGAAAATTCAATTGTGAAAAAATGACTGAACTGAAAAAGTAATTTTAAGTTGAAATGTTAAAAGGTATCTTTTGACACCTTCAATAGAAATAGTGTTAGAAGACCGAAGTTTCGAAAGTGTTTAATAACTAAAAATATTGGATCATTCCATAGATGATGCAGTTGTTTTATATTTCTCCTGTTTTAAACAATTAAGATAAATACAATGTTTTTAATCTAAAGTATGGTCTCTTTTATTATCTGCAGATTACTTATCTATACATTATAGAACGATTACGAAATGTTTTGTTTACCCTAATTTTTTCAGATAGAAGGTATAAACTGCATTATTTACATAGATAACAAACAGAGAAATAAAATATGAAAAAAATAAAATGAAAATTTGCATAAGAATCTTTTAACTTGTATGTAGTTTAACATATTCACGTCGCGACGTGTTTTCATATGAGGATATAGGTGTATTAACCAATGAGTGTGCTTGTGTGTGCAGTACGAGTAAATGTTCTAGATTATTGATTTTCTAAAATATCGATTTCCTAAAATATTGATTTTTGCAATTGTGTCAAACGAATTTAGAATATCCCAAATGTACTTGAAGTTAATGGACGGTGGCGAAAGAATGTTCTAGAAAATGTGCGAGTGAGATGAACGAAATTTCTATAAAGTCATGTACATTTTGTCGTATCTGAGCCACTCATAGAACAAACCAATTAACTCCACAAAATAAAAAGTAGAGAGAAGTAGCACAATCGTTACATATTTGATTGTTAAAATTTCCCTGTAACACGTTGACTGCCACGAAAAACATCAGCACTTTATGTATTGCTTATTCTTTCTGTAGCAAAGATTAAAAGGAAGAATTATTAATTATTTGGTATCACAATTCTTACATTACACTATTGTCTAATTATTTACATTACTGAACATTTGTATTCGACGTTAGTTGTCTTATAAGTTATAATTATTTTCTTGTAATCTGGATGCTCCGGTCATCGGTGACTGCCGTGGCAGACAATGTGTTAAATGCAAAATCGAATTATTATAATAGAGTGTATTTTACTTGATTAACATAGGTACAGCTTCAATCTAACAAATATGTAAAATACATAAAATGGTATGTTCTTGAAGTAACTTTGATTATTATTGCAATTTTCCAATCATCAAAGACTGAATTTATCTCCTGAACTGCTGAATTTATATAAATGATTGATATTTGCTTACAATGCAAGTTTCAGGGTTCTTATCAAGAGGAATATACGTTCGAATTAAGAATCTTTCAAACTTTTATGTACTTTATTACAAAGTAACATATTAATATAACAAAAATGTAATTTTACGTAAACAGAAAGAAAATTAGTCTTACAAGAGTATTCGTACCTATACAAGCTATACTAAGAATACAATTAATGTGTTAATAATTAATATTTGGTTGGACCACTTTTGCATTTTATAACACATTTGAGACGATCAGACATGAAGACGATCTAAATCATCAAGCTTGTGAGACCAATTTTGTTCCGGTTTGCATGAAATTACATTTTTGTTATACTGACATACTGTTTTGCAATAAAGTATGTATAAGTTTGACAGCTTCGTAATTCCAACATACATTCTTGTCGGTAAGAACCTCGAAATTTGCAGGAAGCGCGAATACTCTTGCGATTCACTATGAATTTAGGTATAACTGTAAATATTTATCAACAAACAAGAGAACATTGAGTAAACCTACTCTGAAGGACAAACCTTACTAAAAGTAATAATAAAAAGATTTATAAAATATTTAATGTGTACCGCTTCCTACAATATTAGTCAGGAATAACCATCTACCTTTCTAATTCTATTCTTAAAAGTTTGAATTTGCATAAAGATCGACTATCTAATTATAAGACATATTGGAAATATTTTTATGGACCAGTGCAATCGAATCACGAATCGAAAGTTCCTCGTTGTTGCTTCCATGAGGACTCACTTTATAAATTAATGTTTATTGGAAACGTTTCAGGGCATGCAACAACAAGAGGCGACGAGGAGCAACGAAATGTTGCTCGATGTTGCTTCAATGGGAACGTAGCTTTACCTTAACTGATCCACGCGGCTCTGCTCGTAGGATCCATCGCTGCCTCGAGAGCTCTTTTTCTGGAACCAAACCGAATTCCTCAGATTAACCCTTCAAGTGTATCATTTAACCCGTTCGAGACCCGAATTTTTTTAAAGACAGTCCTTAAGAGTCAAGGCTCTTCTTCGATTTATATAAAAAATTCAGAAAAGATTTTTTAAATCTTATCGAAACTCAGTTTGAAGTCCTACTAGCTTAAAGCTAATACTCTTGGCCTTCGATTTGCGTGGCATTCAAATTGCACGATTTCGGTTTAACACGTTTGGAAACTAAGCACTCGATTAAATGAAAGTTCAAGATTCCTCAGAACGATTGCTCCATTTATATTTGATACATCCATTAAAATTCGGTTCCTTCGATACGTCAGCAAGAAAAATTGTATCAGCCAAATTCGGGCGATATCATGTTTTGCATAAACTTGAACATTAATTTCCTTGGTGAGGTATCGAACGATCGGAATTTTGTTGGATGTATAAGACATAAGGATAGTAGAGCAATTATTATGAAGAATTTTGACCTTTTAGTTTCTGTTCTATCAAGCAAAGTGTTTCGACTGTATAGGAGTTTTGATGAGTGTTTACTTGGCTGGCAAAATGTTAACACGATCGGGTTAGGCAAATCCAAAACTTACATTAATTCTTTTTTGCAATATTACAACCACCAAATGGGTACTAGCGGAACAAACTCTTCTAAAAAAATTTTTAGTAAATAAGAAGCTAAAAACAAAAAAACAGAAAGAAAGAAAAAGAATTGGAAGAAAATGTATTTATGTGATATATAATGAAAATGCTGATAAGATAAAAAGTGATATTCGTAATTTCTTGTAATATATTTTATAGTAAGTGGATTCAAATTGCACGATTTCAATTTACACGACATTTTCATGGGTTGCTACAAAAGTTTCTGGAAAGTACTAGATAAGTCACAAATCAGTTTTGAATTAATGGTTTCATCGTTTTTTAAAATTCTCTTTGAACCTTAATACATTTTTCATTAAGTTATGTCAGCAGTTCCTAGACCTAAAAATGTGAAGCTTTACGAAACTAGTACACAATTGAATGACAGCGTTAGAAATGACGGAATCTCGAAAACTTTGCAGCAAGCAAAGTATAAGCACAAAGTGCTTATAAAGCACGTATAAGTTTTAATTTTTACACACCTGTGATTTTTACTTTATTTAAAAAATATTTTGTATCTCCGACTTGTTTCTCATTATTAATTAATAATAAAATTTCATAACCATTGTTCATGATCACACGATGTGTGTGAATAATTTTTATTAAATATGTAATTGAGGATGTTCCTGGGAAAAGGATCTATAAATCTATGATCTCTACCTCGATAAAATATCTTCAATTTACTGAATATGTTCCCACAAAATTTAATCTCTAATCACCATGTAACTAACAATAATTGAAAACGTAATAATCTAGCTACTGAAAAAACTAAAACTTAATTTTAAAATTAAAATTAATAACTTCTAACTCGATTTATTGAGTTCCACATTTGTGTTTGTAAATCCTTTTTCCAAAAACAACCGCGATTGATTTCAACACGTTGAATGCCGCACGATTTCACAGAGCAAAATACACGAAATGAGAAAAGATATAATATTGAATTACTTAATTGAATTGCGTTATTGATATTGCAATGTTAATTATAATATGGAAACGTTTTCAAATAACCACCGTTTAATTGAGTGACTTACAGTGGTTCGATTTGGTTAGGCATTCTATCTCTTAAATAGTCTGACGCGTTTTAGGCTGAAAAGCCATTATAATGCTTCTTCTTTCGAGTTTTTACGTGAAAATATATAAAAATATTCTAATTTATTCAACTGTTGCTAAGGTAATAAAGCATGTAACTAATAATTAATACGGTAAAATATAACAAGTCGATATTGTCGATTCGCCCTCCACGATGGCACTGGTGGTACAACAGTGTAGCTCCATAGCTAGTTACGGCGTAGCTAAAAGGTTAAACTACTTAGTGGAGGGGGGACGAGTGCTTAACCCTTTCGTTGCTAAAAGCGACTATAGTCATCTAACTTTGAACGTTCATTGTATATTAAAAGGCGACTGCACTCAACCATCCTTGAAACTTTCCATGGAAAATTGAATAATACTTCTAAACAACATTTTAATGAAAATTCCACTGATGGAACTCGAGCAACAAAATACATTTGTTATTAATACTAGATCAAATTATTGAAATTCGTTAAATTAAACGATGATTATATGGAAACTTCTCTATGTTATTAATAATGCAACCTAAGACGGTGGCATTTTGTAAAATGAATGTGTAATATAATAACGATAATTCAATTCAATGAAATAATTTGATATTCTCTTCATTTTATGTATACTTCCTTGTAAAATTGTCTGGAGTTCAACGTATTAAGCTTTGTTCGAGTTAAAGGGCACAGTTGCGACTCGGTCACCCTAAATCGTGGCAGCTTACTTGCGGTCAACTGGACCGTAGCTAAAGAGTTAATCTTTCGGAGTTCTTGGTTGAGTCACTGGACATTCAATTTCGTTCCAATAGCTACGTACTAGGTAATTCTTACCCTAATTGCTCGTAATAACATAATCCCGCCTTTATTGTTTCTATGCTTCCAAAAATTGGAGGATCACAAGAAAATTCATTGATTTTCAAAACAGGAAGCTTTATTTCGCATAGATTCTTAACGTTAGAACTAGCATGTCCGTCAAAATGATTTTAGTTTTCTTATTTTTCAAGTACTGATACTTGTAAAGTATTCAATATGCGAAATGATTTTTAAAATAAATAGTTTCGCTTAAATATTATAAGGAATATCTGAAGAAATAAAGAAAAATTTATTGTGACAATCTTTATAAGGATTACGTATCAACCCTAATAAATACTCGGTAGTACCAGTGTTAATGAACAAATGCTTTTATTTATAAAACTATTATTTCAAAGAATCGTTCACACGAAATTTATTCTGTTTCGAAGAGGAAATAATCCAGTGCAAATATTTTGTTCGGGAATTTATGTGTGAAAGAGGGATAAATATCAATTTCATTACTTTAAATAGAGTCATAGGATTTTTTAGACACTGCTCTATACATTTCGGTCTTCTCTATAAAAAAGTATGAACTCCCTTATATCGAAAAATCATTAGTTTGAGAGATATTTTAATTTCAATCGTGTAATTGCACTGTATAATTTTTTATGAGATAAAAGTATTTATTGATTGAAATGGGACACCCTGTATGTACTTAGAAAAATAAGCTTTCATTTACCTGCGGGCACATAGATACTTGGTAGATTTAGTGTTAACCCCTTGTCCTATAATTTCTTTCACAACTGTGCTCGATGGATGATTTAGTAGAAAAAAAAAGAATTCCATGCTTATTCTGTGTCTAACGTTTATTCTAAAGACTAAAGATTGATAATAGTCAAGTAATATTACAAATTTTCGTCACGACTTTGGCTCGATATTATCGGAGAAGGGATTAAATATTAATCCAAAAAGGGAACTTTAAAAATAGATCACTACTAGATGGCAAATGGTTTTAAAGAGAGAAAGGAATTATATTTTGAATTAATATTTAAAAATCAATATGAAATTACACAGCTTTCTGTCGAGACTAAAAATAATAGATTTCTTTTTGGCCCCCTGGATATACTGAGTAGTAAAGTGATATTAAACTATAGTTGAGCTAAATAATGCTAATGTAAGTTTCAAAGTAAAACACTGAAAACACTGCGAATCGCAAAATTTAAGAAAAGATTTTAAAAAGGACAAACTTTTTAACCTTTAGTCATGGAATATTAAACAAGACCCGTGATGAAGGTTTCAGACTCAATTTAACCCTTCCCATACGGAGCAACTTAATGCAGGAGCGTTCCGTGTAGCTATTAAACTGCAATTCCTTCAAAGTGCTTGGATGAGTCATGTTTAAACACCAATATAAATATAAAAAATAATGTTTTAAGTGGTTATTTTAAGAAAACTTTGTTTATAAGGGCTTATTTTTCTGAACACTCACGATTTCAATCAATAAATACTTTTATTTTGAAAATAATTTTTTATTTAAACAAATGTTTCATATGAAAACTCTGTTTCAAGGGAAACATAATTCAGAGCAATTAGTTTCACAGTTTATATAATACTTTTTTGAACTGGATACTAAAATGTATAGAATAATGTCTAAAAAATCGTATGAGTCCATTTAACCCTTTACCCTATCATTTCTTTCATAACTGATCTCACTAGGATAACTTCGTCCTTAATAATTTATCAAAAAACAAAGAAGCATATCCAATCCATCTGTATCGACCTTTACCTCAGAACACAACAATTAATAATAGAAAAATAATATTTAGTTTGAATGCAAAACAACTGAGTAACATTTCACTTTTGTAACTTTCGTTTAAGAACTTGCTCACGAGCCTGACTCGGTATTGTATGGCAAGGAATAAAACAATGAACTTGATATGTATGCCTCATTCACACGTAAATTCACGAACAAAATAATTGCACTGAACTATTTCCCCTTTGAAATAGAATAAATTTCGTGAGAAACATTCTTTGGTATAGTAAATAGTTTTAGAAATAAAAGCAATCGTTCATTAACATTGGAACTACCGAGCATTCATTAGAGTTGATATGTAATCCTTATAAAGATTGTAACAATACAATTTTGTACGACTTCTTCAGACATTCCTTATAGTATTCAGGTGTAACTATTTATTTTCAAAATCATTCAAAATATTAATGATTTCAAAAAAAGAAAAGTAAAACTCGTCATTTTGACGTACGGTAGTTCTAGTATTAAAATAAGACAAACTATATACCCCAACGAGATTCACAAAGTTAACAAAAATGCATATTCTCTTTATTTAAAGTAGAAACAGAGCGCGACTTTTTTATCGGTATACAATATTGGATTTACATGCATAGTTTGCAGTGAAAGTAAAACTCTATTCTTTCAATAAATACTTCCGGTGGGAGCAGCTGTGAGACGAATCGTAAGGCAAGGGGTTCGGGACA